CTCTCTCTCTCTCTCTCTCTCTCTCTCTCTCTCTCTCTCTCTCTCTCTCTCTCTCTCTCTCTCTCTCTCTCTTCATCCTGTATTCGCCCTTTTTTCTCTCAGGGCATGTTGTTGACTCGTTGAGTAACGTTAGAGTAGACTGAACCTTGAGCCTTTCCCATTTTTTTTCCAAAAAGCGGGGGCAGGCCCTGTCGTTATCTGTTCGTCAGGATCTGTTTCTGAACAGTTACATGTGTATACCCTGGCCTGAAAGCGTTTTCTGCTTTGTGTATATCTGTGGAAACGTTGTTCTGTTTGGTCCACAGGTGCAGCATCCCACCAATAGATTGGAGCCCTTGTTTTTGTGAAAAAGAAAAAAGGGAAGAAGAAAAACGAAAAAAAAAAAAAAGAAAAAGAAAAAGAAAAAAAGAAAAAAGAAAAGAAGAAAAAGGAAAGGAAAAAGAGGAAAAAGGAAAAAGAGGAAAAAGAGGAAAAAGGAAAAAGGAAAAAGTATAAGAAAACTGACTACGGTGCCTTGCTTTTGTTCTCTACTCTGGTCTGCAGATCTACAGAACTTCAACGAGCTTTGCAAGCTTGCAAGTAAAGACTTTCAGGCGCTTTTTATGTGAGTTTCGAAGATGGCATCACATCCAAGTTTTGGTCTTGTGTCGGTGTGGTCAGCCTCAAAGAGAAGGAGAGAGGGGGAGAGGAGAGCCTACACCTCTGTGTAGAGAGGGAGATTGGAGAGGGAGGGGGGAAAAAAGGGGGGGGGGGGGGGGGGGGGGGGGGGGCTGGGGGGGGGGGGGGGGGGGGGGGGGGGGGGGGGGGGGGGGGGGGGGGGGGGCGGCGGGAGAAGAGAGGAGAGTGTACATCTCTGCTGTGTAGACAGGAAAATAGATGGATGGATGGATGGAGGGAGGGAGGGAGGGAGGGAGGGAGGGAGGGAGGGATGGGAGGAGAATGTATCGGTGAAGAGGGACTTGTCTAATCACCATGGTGCCTTTTTTGCACCCCGATGCCAGTCAGCTTTATATATGTTGTCCACAGTTACAATCTCAGTGATAAATATTAGCTTCACCCTTTCAGGTTGAAATAGCACAATAATGAGAGCATTCAGAAGGAGAGGGGGGAGGGGGGGGGGGGAGAAAAAGAAAAAAAAGAATGGAGGACCGTTTCTGGACGGGTATGAACGAGAATGTATGTGCCTATTTGGCTACAGTGAAGTATGCGCGGTACGGCCCGGCTGTTGCCACGGCTAGGGTCTTCAGAATGCAGGTACAGCCGTGGGATTCAGACGCGAAGCATCTGCTCTTGGAGCCTTTTCCTGTGCAGTGCTGTGCTCTGAAAGTCAAAGCGAAGAGGTCTCGTTAAGTTCGGTCGTTTTGTAACGGCGAGGGTCTTGTTTCTGTTTAGATTTTGCCGTTTGGGTCTTGTTTCTGCCGTGGGATTCAGACTCGAATCGTCTGCTCTTGTTTCTGTTTAGATTTTGCCGTTTGGGTCTTGTTTCTGCCGTGGGATTCAGATGCGAATCGTCTGCTCTTGGAGCCTTTTCCTGTGCAGTGCTGTGCTCTGAAAGCCAAAGCGAAGAGGTCTCGTTAAGTTCGGTCGTTTTGTAATGGCGAGGGTCTTGTTTCTGTTTAGATTTTGCCGTTTGGGTCTTGTTTCTGTTTGGATTGCCGTTTGGGTCTTGTTTCTGTTTGGATTGCCGTTTGGGTCTTGTTTCTGTTTAGATTGCCGTTTTCGGACCCAGCTGTGGTTTGTGCTGATGATCGCCTTCTGCTTTTTCCTTTGTTGCCTCTTTTGGAAGAAAGGTGAACCTGGTCCAATTCTCCATCCGCCAGCCAGACTCCGTTTAATTGTCGCCCACATCAGTTTCCTCCCCGCCACTCCTCCTGTTGTCAGCGATGGCCATCGCTTTGCACTCTGAGAAGTTTTCCCAGAAAGATGGCGCGTTGGTCCTCAGCCCAGTTGCAGGAACCGTGGGTGCGTACTACCCTGTAGTCTACCTACCTTCTTGGCATGATGTGCACAGCTGTCTTATGCACATCTGGGCCCCAGTGGTGTG